GTGTGGGGTCAATGAATTCTAGCTTATTTAGGTGTCAGCACTCATTCATCAATTCACTCAGGTGACATTACGGGTGGCCTCATACACAAGCACTGTGCTAAAAGCACTGGATCCCCATCTCTCTCCATGGAGAGTTCACAGTGCGAGTCTGTGGAATGGTGGTAAGAAAGGGGGTTTAGTGGGTGCCGGATCACATCTCACCATGTTTTTTCTTTATGTACCATGCTTTTTTCTTAGGATGTCAGAGCCCAGGCCACCATTCCACTCCTGGGCTACATTGTGGATGATATGCTGAGGAGTGCAGACCTGCCACACAGTTTCAAACTGACCCAGTCCAAGTCTGTGCACAGCTTTGCTGCAGACAGTGAAGAACTGAAACAGAAGTGGCTGAAAATCATCCTTTTAGCTGTCACAGGTGAGACGCCAGATGGTCCTAGTAATCCAGCCACTTTGGACGATCATCCTGAACCTAAGAGAAAATCAGAATGCTGAGTTCCAGGGCCTACTGCAGTATGGAGGGGGGTCTCAAGATTTACAGCTCAAAACATTCTCAGCTCTCCTTATTCATCTCTTAGCACTTTATGTTGAAAAATACAGGCTCATAAATGCATCTTTGGAGGGACTATTTTCCTATGTTTATGTACTCTTACTGAAATTAACGTGTAGAGCCATTCTACCCATAAAGTTTGAAATAATGTGAAAAATGGAGCATTTTTTAATGAGCTATTCCTTGAATATGTACTTTTGTCTTGGAAAAAACTGGTATCAATTCTATCACTTCAGGTTAGAAAAGGCCACTTTCATTTAAGAAATCCTTTAATGTCTTCACTTACACATGTAGGATTTATAACAGTTTGAAAGATATACCTCCGTGTTGCCAAAATAGATCCACATTAAAAATAAAAAATACAGGGACAGTTTAGGCTATTAACTTATTTAATTTAGTTTATAAGCTCAAGCTGCATAAATGATGTACATTCTTTTAAAACAAAAGAAAAAGAACAAATTGTTGGTATTCAAACTTTCAACTTATTAAGATACTTGTTTTTGTAGAAATACTTCTAAGAATAAAATATCTTAAGTATATAGCAATTATGTATATATATAGTATTAAATACAAATATATATATATATATATATACACACACACATTATACATGCTTTTCTCTTCAACTTTAAGTTCATATTTGTCTCTAATTTATTTTTTAAATATACAGCATGTTTTATCTTGGAATTGACCAGTGTTCTAAACTTAAGAAATGTTTTTGGTGATTTATGTTTAACTGATTCACATCTAAGGGTCTTGATATTTTTATAATAAAAAGCTGTAATTTATGTGGCATGGGATATATTAGTGAATTCCAACAGTATTTTTAAAGTACTATTTTTCTTTGTCCTGTGCCTATTTAAAACAGTGCCTCTCTTTGAAGGTGCTAATAATACCTACTTAAATATAAGATGAGGGTTTAATTAATGCTTCAGTCTTGATTATCCTGAGATAAAGTGCATTTTGGTCACTGGGATGGTCAAGTCATACAGGTTATTTTACCTTTTACAATCCTCTAATTGTTGGCAGCAGTTAATATCAGCATGTACAAGATACCTGACCTTACACAGAACTGGGACATATGGAAACTACATTTATTGTTCTGTTTTTCTTTCCCATAAGACTGTTAATTGTGGTTAAATGAGGACTATATATAATTAACACTTAAGATAACTGTGTGGGCCTATTCGTTTGTCAGATATGAAACAAAATTCACATGGGATAACCTATGATTGAGGGGGATGGATAGGTAATTAAGAAAGTTTATCCTCAACTCTTTAAACCACCTCATTAAAGAAGAGTGGGGAAAAATACAATATAAAAAAGCAATATTTTAATGGCAGGTTTTTCAGTGGGGTACAAGATGATTGACGAGAGTTTGAGCATTCTTTTCCCTTTTATCCTCTGGGGAATTTTAATAGACAAAATGTGATTCCTTGTCACAAAGGCTGCTTTTTATTATATTGTAATTGTGATTAAAGTCTCACATTAAGTTGGCTATTTAAGTTAATCCTTTCCTCAAAATTAGATCTCTCTCTTTTTTTTTTTCATTTACTCTGTCATTTTCCAAATATTGTCACTTTTTAATGCATCTGTCTGCTAGAAATCGACAAGAATGGCCCCACTATCCTCAGCCTTTGAGGATTACACCTTAAATGTAGATTAGCTTCACTCAGAATTTGAGATTGCCACACATCTATTCAGGCCCTGTTTTTTTTAAAGAAATATTTGAAGTATCTCTTTTCTTCCCCCCACACCCCTAAGGAGCAGATAAACTAATTATAGTGGGCATGATTAGGTTGCCTTCCTCTGTAAAAGGAACACCAGCCATGATCCATCAACATTAAACCAAATAACTTAGAGCCAAAAAAAGATAAAGGTAGCTTCTTAGGCCCTATTAAATTAAGGACAAAGTTTAAATTTTTTACATTGCTTCTCTTTTCTAGTTGCCAACCGTGTGTGTGTGTTTGTGTTCAGGGGTGGTTATTGAGGTTGAACTACGGCTCTAGGTGATGCTTTGGTTTTCTTAATCTCAAGAAAAGAGAAGCAATAAAAATGTAGAATGATTAACAGGAGAAGGTGACTTCTGTAAATGTGGATAGAAAAATGGAAATGTAAGAGCCAATTAGAAGATTTACGAGCCAGATTATTTTTGAAAATTATTTTGAACAACAAGAAGATTACACTTTCC